ACGTTTCTGTGGCTAACAAGAGGAGATCTGAAAGGGGAAACTGAAAGTCAGATTATAGCAGCACAAGACCAGGCACTAAATACAAAATATTACGCAACAAAGATATTAAAAAAAGATACAGACAGCAAATGCAGACTATGTAAGCAATTTGATGAGACGACAGATCACGTTATGTCCGGATGCCCCGTGCTGGCAAAAGAGCAGTATATACAACGACATGATCGTGTCTGTTCTCAGTTACATTTTAACATATGCAGGAACGCTGGGGTAAAGCTAGAAGAGAAGCACTGGTATGAACACATCCCGAAGACAGTGGAGACAAGTGAAGATGGCCAAATAACTATTTTGTGGAACCAACAATTCGGAACTGATAGAACCATCCCAAATAATAAACCTGACATAATAATCAGAAACAAAAATGGAACTTGCCTCTTAATTGACATAGCAGTACCGACTGACAGGAATGTGATTAAGAAGGAAGCTGAAAAGATCTTGAAATAGAAGGAACTTCTCATAGTAATACAGAGAATGTGGAAGGTTCAAGCAAAAATAATTCCAGTAGTTATAGGGGCAACAGGAACTGTCTCCAGGTCTCTCAGGAAATATTTGGCCAACATTCCGGGCGAACACGATGTCAGGGAACTTCAGAAAACTGCCATTTTGGGAACTTCAAACATAATTCGAAAGACGCTTTCATAAAATAAAATTAAATAATACATGTGGCACTTGCTAAAAACAATATGGATCCCGGAAATAGCTGCTGCCCTATGTACGTTAGGGACAAGGTCTGTCTCGGGTGCACAGAAGTACTTGCCCCATAAAGTGGTGAATAGATGGAATATTAATAATAATAATAACCATCTCATTGAAATACAGAGAATGTGGAAAGTTCAAACAAAAGCAATCCCAATAATTATAGGAGCGACTGGAACTGTCTCCAAGTCACTCAGAAAATATTTGGCCAACGTTCTGGGGGAACATAACATCAGGGAACTGCATAAAACTGACATTTTATGATCTTCATACATCATTCGAAAGACGCTGTTGTAAATAGCTGTGAAAGGACTGAGATAAATCGTTCCCTAACATGGAAGCTGATTTTTGACTACAGCAGTGGTTCTGAATACTTTGGTGCTCGCGTCAACCTTAGGATATTCTTTTTTGTGGGGGTGGTGACATGCTAGAATTATAATACGGAAGTAAAATATATAGTAATAAGAGTTTACCTACTTTAAATAATGACATTTATTGCGAAAAGTTATTCTAAAATATAGGTGATGAATGTCCGCATACAAGTATGTTCCAACAGGTGAACCAAAAATATCCAGTACCTCAGAGGTTCTTTAGGCCATTAGAGCAGGGGTCGACAAACATTTTTTCTAAAGGGCCAAATAGTAAATATTTTAGGCTCTGTAGGCCAAGAGGCAAACTCGAGGATATTCGTAGGTAAGCCTACTTATGTAACAAGAAAAAACCAAGTTTTAACAAATTTATTGAACAAAATGTAACGTAATAATAATAATTGTTTGAAATACAGCTCTACTAATGAGAAGAATGGAATTGTCTCTTATGAGATAACATTTCACAAAACTGAGGTTTAAATTCAGTACTCCCTATCATCAAAATTGATTGTAAATGTTCATCCGTAAATGCTGACCTGTATTGAGATTTTACATATTTCATCTTTGAAAATGTCTTTTCACACAGGTAGGTGCTGCCAAATACAGATATATATATCCCCGAGCATATGATCTTAATTGTCCGTATTCATCGCTTGGAAGACATTTATAGAATTCTTTCTCTCAACTACTCAACTCGGCCGTTTCATTATAGCGCGTGCTTTGAAATTTCAAAGAATTTAAATATGTAAAATCCGTTCTTACCTCGCGGGCCGTAGAAAAAGAGGCGGCGGGCCGTAATTTGCCGACCCCTGCATTAGAGGACTGAAGATTGGCAAGGCTTCTGGCCAGACGGTGTCCCGAACAGGGTCTTCAGACATCTGCCTAAGCGCGCGATATCCTTACTCACGAAAATGTTGAACGCAATCCTCCGCAGACAGTACTTCCCGCCTGCTAGCGTGCTATCCAAATTTAAACCAGAAATTGGCCCCTCACTCAGTTCTTGCTACACCAATGGCGTGCTCTTCGATCCTACAAACTGCGGTCCTACACGAGGTAATCGAGCAGTTTGGGTTCTGACCCAAATATAGCACGACACTAGAGCGGGCCCGCCTTGTTGAAAGGGTCAACAGGAACTTTGAAGAGAAGCGGCTAACCGACGCAGTTCTCCTGGATGTGGCCAAAGCCTTCGACCGAAAGCCTCCTTTACAAGGTGGTCATCTTAAATTTCCCTTCTTACCTGGTGAAAACCATACCCTCTGACTGCCGAACTTTCGAAATGACCATCAAGTCAGCAACATGCGGCCTCGGGTGGCCCAGGGTGGATTCGTCTCTTCTGTGCTATTCTACCTGTGACTGACATCTACGGCGACCAGCCACGTCCAGCTAGTGCAGTACGCGGATGACACGACTCTTGTTACCACGTCCCGTAGTCTATCGCTTCTGGTCAGTTTTCTGGAGGCCTATCTCACAGACTCGAGCAACGGGATATGAAGGTTGCCACAAACGTCTAAAAAAAAACATCGCTGTACTCTTCCAGTTGCGACTAACGAACCTCGGGGTGTGGCAACATCCAAATTTACGAAGATCTAGGGATTACATTCTTCGCCGACCACATTAGAACACTAATTGATAGTTTTAAATTAAAGATAGCTGTTGCGGGGAACCCCCTTAGTTCGGCATCTTGGAACGCAACTGTGCCGACCAAGGGCTGACTGAAGTCATCCACGGGTAGCCGTATTGGCCTGATGGTCATCAGACCATCCCTAAAGAGACGGTGAAGTCCGCACTGCACGCATGACTGGCTACCCTACCTCAGGATTTCGGCGTTTTTCCTGTTATAGGTCAAATGCCACAGTATAATTTAAAATGGGTATTGCATACCTACCCCAGTAACTGAGGTCTTTACCCCAAATGACCTCCCCCAGCTAAAACAATTCCAATTCGTTTCGTACACAGGAATCGTCCAG